CTCTTTTTTTTTTTGCTGAGGAAGACTGGCCCTGGGCTAACATCCGTGCCCATCTTCCTCCACTTTATATGGGACGCCGCCACAGCATGGCTTGCCAAGCGGTGCATTGGTGCGCTCCCGGGATCCAAACCAGCGAACCCCGGGGCCACCGCAGCGGAGCGCACGCACTTAACCACTTGCGCCACCGGGCTGGCCCGAAAAAACACTTCTGTCTTAGGAGGAATAGAAATGAAGAGGTTTATCCATAGTCAAGTTTTGTGGACAGACCTGGTCCTGTTTTCCCAAAAGAAGTTATTTGGTTTCTTTCTTTAATAACAGAGATAACCAACAGGGATGGCATACACTTATAACTTTTCCTTTCTCATCTGGGTCGTTGAGAAACAGGCGTCCTCCATTCCCTAATAAAAATATTACAAAGTAACAAGCATACATCTCTGGCCATTTAAAACAAGAAATAAAAATGTTGCAAGCCATGTTATGCTTTCGTTACTTTCCCTTAGTAACATAAATTGTGGTACCATGCTCTGAGCCTATCTTTTTGCAGCTCAAGTAAGAATTTTCAAATGGAAAATGGCCAAGAATACCTCTAGAAATGCAAGGTTTCTCAAAGGTTTCTTGGAATACAGGCAGAATGGTGGGGAGGGCCTGGGCTTTGTCATTTTGCTCCTTGCTTCAAACTTGGCTGTGCCGCTTACTAGTCATTTCACCTTGGGCCAGTGATGATCTATTTGAATCTCAATTTCCTCATCTATAAAATGTAATACAAGTCTCCCAGTCACAGCGTTGTTACAATGAAAATAGCATACATAAAATCCCTGGCTCTGTGACTCAATAAATATAATATTCTCCTTACCTCGAAAAAAATGCCCACTAGAAGACGGGGACTATAACGCTCATAGAAGCTTTATTTTCTTATAGTCCCAACTGGAGACAACCCAAATGACCATCAGTTGTAGACTGAAGAAAGAAATGGAGGATATTCATGCAATGTAATATTACACAGTATGAACTATTGTTTCTGCAAAAACGTGGATAAATCTCACCAACATAATGCTGAATGACACGAAATAATACATGCTGTATAATTCCATTGAAAGAAAGTTCAAAAACAGGCAAAATTAATCTGTGGTGACAGAGATCAGAAGTGGTAACCTTTTGGAGGGAGGATGGATTGGGAGGGGGAGAGGGAGCCGGCTGGGGTGCTGGAAATGTTCTATGTCTTCACCTGCATGGTGGTGATTATACAGGGGGATATGTACATAAAAATTCCACAAACTATGCACTTAAGACTTTTACATTTTACACGTACATGTGCATTACTTACATTTATGCATGTGTAAATAATACGTCAATAAAAAAAAACCCTGCTCCCTTTGCCCTAGGAGCTGGATTTTATATCAATATCCATCTTATATATCAGGAGAGTATCTAGATCTAGATATGACAGGTCAATAGCTGGCCATCTTGCAGGCTGCAGTCTGTCCCTTGTAAGTGACCCATTTCAGAGCTGGCCTGGAGCTGACAGGCATATTGTGAGGGTCATGCTCCATCACCATTGACAGCTGGAGATGCCATCACACACCTTTGGCAGCAAAGCACAGGGAAAACCAGGCAGTAGACCGTGATTCCCACCCTCAGGCTGCAAGGCACAAGCCCCAGCAATGGAAGGATTAAAAGCCTCTCAATTCAAAAAGACAGGGGGAGGGGAGGAGAATGTGGGCTGCACAATTTATAAATAGACATTACCCGAGGCTGCCTGATGGTGAAGTGGTTGTTTAGTAAATCTTTCTCCTTTAAGGATTCCATTATCAGAGACCATTCGAAAATACCAGTTTTCTTTCGTCTTTTGGGGGAGATCCTGGCTTTCATCAAGTCAGCCCTGTTGGATGATATTTCTCTCTGCCAGATCTGGGCATAGGCCTTCGGTATTTTGAATCACCTTCTCATGGAGCACAGAGATGATGATGATGAGGATGTGTCTTTTGCCAAATGGATGAGCAGCTTCTGGGGTCACAGCTGGATAGAGGAGGATGAAAGAGGACTCCGGGACCGCCGCGGATCACAAGACGCCAGTTACAGGAAAACCTCCCTGCCCTGCCCAGTGAGTTACCTTCATGGAATGGAGGGAGAGCAGGACTGGGGAGGGGAATTCTCCTGGATAATTTTCGAAGATTCCTTTGGTATAAAGTATTCTTTGGTTGGAAATCAGTACTTCCAAATCTTTTCTTATACCCACAAAAATCCCTTTTATCATTTTATCTTGTCCTCCAAGGGACGTGATTTTCATCTACTAGGTAATGATTTCTTCATTTTTAGTAGCCTAAGATGTCTTTAACTGCTATTCAGAGCTTCTGATAAGCCTGAGATAAGCCTGCTGAGTGATAGTATAATTCAAGCCAAAGGAAAGAACCTTGGTGGTATAGTCAGTCTGTGTAGCATGGGTGTGAATCTATGTGTGATTTCCAATCGTCTTTTTGAAACCCTGAAAGTAGCTCCACTATTTGGTGACCTCTAAGGAATCGGGGATCCCACATAGTAAATCACTACCTTTGGTAAATTGGATATACTTGTTCTTCTGGTTCCCAATGGTTTCCTGACGGGGGAGAAAGCCAAAATCCTCCCGCCCTCAGCACTGTTCTCCCATGGCCAGGCAGAGCGCCCAGCATCTAGGCAGCAGGATTCGAGCAGGAAGGCTCCCAGGACGGGTGTGGGTGCCCTGACCAGGTGTGGACAGGGCAGCAGGTACAGGCAGCAGTTCTCTCTGCTCAACTGCAGCGCTAGAGGACGCCACAACAGACGGGCATGGCCTCTGCTTCACAGGGACACAGCCATCACAAGTAGCCTAGAATTCCAGCTACCGGAGAATACTTCCTCAACCCCCTGCTTCTGCCAACCCCAAAACCAAGTAAGTTCAGGGTAATGTTATTTTACTTTATTTTATTTTTAGCTCCAGAGTTCCCAGATGCATAATGCCTGTGAGCTATAGTAAGGCGTGTAAGGCAACCTCTTACTCCAGTGATGGGCGAGTTTGAGGAAGGAGACCTCTTTGAGACACGCATATTTGAAAAGAGATATCTTACCAAATGCATGCTCAGGACAAAGGGCAAGTTCTAACACCTCTTTAAACTTCAGGTTCCTTACTTGCAAAAGAAGAGGGTTGGACTGGATGGTCTCCGAGAACCCTTCTAGCTCTAACTTTCTATGATTCTGTTATAAACACCTGTTTATCACACTCTCATTTTAATCTCTTTTAGTCCACACTGAGCAAGATATTCATAATGTGTGAGCCAGAAGTATGAGTAGTTCCCAGGTTCCAGACAGTGGGAACCAGTGAGGAACAAAGAGAAAAATCATGATTTACTATTTATCACAATAGCCATTTGGAGCCACAGGTAATATGAAAACAAAGGAAAAAACATGACTGATAAAATATTGTTTCTTGAATATATCTTAGCATCTATTAGACTTACAAAATCTACCTTATATAGAGAAACCACTGAAGGGGAAGAAGACTATCCTCTATCCACTCTGGGTCCTTTCTGGCTGGGCTACAAATTAAATTGACATGAGATCAAATAGCAGGAGAAAATCAAAGCTTTATAACAGGTATACATGGGAGAGAACCAGGGAAACTGAGTATCTCGGCAAAATGGCAGAGGTTCTCTTCTTAAATAGATCGGGGAAAGACAAAGGAGGATGTTGGGAGTGGGGGAGTCAGTTATGGGAGATTACCAGAAAAGCACAGTAAACAAGAGTGAAGTTATTATGCAGATTTAAGGCCTCACCTTCCGCATTGACAAGTTTCTAGAGATGAGGTCATCCCCTCCTTTTCCCAGTACAGAGAGAGAGATAGCTTTATAAATGGAGATGTCCCTTACAAATGTAAATGTTTGGTAAACAAAACTTTGATAAGAATGGGCTTAGCAAGGACCCTCCTAGTCTATGGATACCCAGAGGTATCCATGGTGATGGCCTGTCCTGGGAACAGGCCTTCTATCTTAAATCCTTTTAGACAGTTAGTGGGGGTGGGGAGGTCAAAGTGTCTTTCAGAAAATAATCAAGGTAAAGAGACATATTTTGAGGTGGCCAATTCTGATCCCCATCACCACTTTTAGGTTGCAATGTTATTTGCCTTAAACTATTGGAGAATGGCAGAATTTGTTATGTATGACATTTCTGAAAGTTGTCCTTATGATATCTTTTTCTGCTTGTATCCGCTTTGGGCATTTGCCTGAATTAACCTGTTTAGATTCTCTGAGTCAACAACACATTCCATAATGATCATAAAGCATGTGTTTATCTAGGGAGACAAAGCATGGAATAAAAGTGGCAATCTGGGTGAATAGGGTAGCCAGCACACAAGCACAGAACACAGATCAGGGGACCCAGGGCGATGTGGGCAGAGCCCAGAAAACAGTGAAGGGGACTGATTCGTTGTTCTCCACTCACATACTGCTATATATCTGTGAAATGAATCTGTAGTTGGATATGTAACTTTTCCTAATTCTAAAATGTGCTGAGGGCCGGCCCCGTGGCTTAGCGGTTAAGTGCGCGCGCTCCGCTGCTGGTGGCCCAGGTTCGATCCCGGGCACGCACCGGCGCCCCGCTTCTCCAGCCATGCTGAGGCCACATCCCACATACAGCAACTAGAAAGATCTGCAGCTATGACCTACAACTATCTGCTGGGGCTTTGGGGGAAAAAATAAATAAATAAAATTATAAACAAAAATAAAAAATAAAATGTGTTCAAATTTTTCTTACGTTAGTGATACGAGAACAATTGGGTTATCATATTTTGTGTTTTGCTTTGAGCTTAATGAAAATAACTTAAACAGAAAAACTTCCTCTTAGCCTTATCTTTTTTCTTCTCTCCCCATTGCTCCAACTGAAGGCCCTTCCCTCTCAGAACCTATTAATAACCTACATCCATCAGCATCACCTGTGTAGGAAGAGAAGCGTTTTCCCCTTCTTTCCTATTTGAGTGTGGTTTCTAATATGGCTTTATCAGCCTCATGATTCTTGCGGAACCATAGTGATGGGGCATTAGTTCATTGTACATATTTATTGAACACCTACTATGTGCTAGACATTGTGCAGGGCACAGTAGGATTACAGGCTAAAAGAAGACATACATGGTCTCTGTGCATGTGGAACTTCCAGTCTAGCAGGAAAAACAAATTTGGCAGAAAGAACCAGATAGACAAGGGGTAAAGCTTGGTCATTCTCAAAGAACACCAGACTCGTAATCTGTGATTGCTGATTTAAAGTGAATAAAGAAAATCTAACTTTGTGGTCCTGATGTCCTTGGTGAAAACAAGAGGTAACATGAAGTCTCTTCTGTTATTAAACTGATCTGCCTTCTCCATCCGTCATCATGTGAATACAAAACTGAAGTAAAACAGTTCCATATCACTTATTTATTAGACTTGTTGAAAGTAGATTCTAATACTTTAGTCTATTCGGCTCTCCAGTCATCTTCTCCTGTAGCTTAGCATGGCTCTCTTTGCATCGTTTTGTGTAGTTTGGGCCGATGGAAGGGGGGATTACGCTAAAGGACAGACCTCTTCAAGGAGGAATTGAGTTCCTGGCCGAGGGCTCGCTAACTCTAAATGGCCTTTCTCAGGGCTTCTTCTCTGCTCCAAGGCAGGCATAATATGTGCTTGCCCGCATGATATAATTTGAAGGGACAGAAAATAAGCCTCTACACCCAAGGGTTGTTTTGCTTTTTTTAAAAAAATCACCTTTAACCCATTTTATGTTTTCTCTACATAGTCTCAATTTAAAATAGTGGAAGATATTTTTAATTTTTATCCCCGATTGGTCTGAAGGTCGCTGCACATTCTCGTTATTAGAGTGTCTCATTACAGGGTGGTTCTCCTGCAATTGCTCACCGCAGGGGTGGGCGGGACACGACCCCCTTAGAGGATTTCTCACAAACCTAGAGAGGGAAGGGATGCCCTCAAGTTTCATGATTGACAGGGGTTTCTTGTTTTTCAGATTAAATTTATTTAATTTCAGTAGGAGACAATGCCTTAATCCAGAGAAATGAAACTAGTGACAAACTTCAGGAATCAGGGACAGCTCTATGGAGGAGATTTTAGCAGTGTTCTGTGGACTTATTTTCTCTCTTCTACTGGATGCTAAGGTAGAGGAGTGGCTAGAAAGACCGCAGAAAGGAGTGGTGAAGAGGGAGGGCTCTGGCCTCCCAGTGTCTACTATCAGTAGCTTAACTCTGAGCAAGTTACTTCACATCCCTCTGCCTCAGAGTCGCCGTATGTAAATGGATTGATGACAGCAGCGTATACCTCTTCAGGGTGTTGTGAAGATTCAATGAGTAACGTATATGAAGTGCTTGGGACAGTGCCTGGTCCAAATAAGTACCTATTCTTCTTCTTCTTCTTATATGTCAGAGGTGTTGAAACTTGGAAATTTTTTTCCAGATGCTTTCAGTTAATTACTGCAAAAAGTTCTGAAGTCTTTCACTTTGCCTTTCTCTCATTGTCTTTAGTGTTTCTCTTTCTCTTTTATATGGCAATAGGAAGATAGTTGGAAATTTTATCTTGAAGATTGACATACAGCACATATTCTGTTATGAATCAAATGTCTGTTTCTCCCCTAGATCCATATGTTGAAGCCCTAACCCCCAATGTGATGGTATTGGAGATGGGGCCTTTGGGAGGTGATTAGGTTTAGATGAGGTCATGAGGGAGGGGCCCTGTAGGATGGGATTTGTGCCTTTATAGGAAGAGATACCAGAGAGCTTGCTCTCTCTCTCTTCACATCCATGTCCCAAGGAAAAGCCATATGAGCACACAGAGAGAAGGTGGCCATCTGCAAGCCAGGAAGAGGGCCTCACCAGGAACTGAATAGACCACCACCTTGATCTTGGACTTCCCAGTCCTCTAGAATTGTGAGAAATAAATTTCTGTTGTTTAAGCCACCCAGTCTATGGTATTTTGTTATGGCAGCCTGAGCTGACTAGACATTTTCATACCAAGAAGGGTGACTGGACAGTGGAGAACTAGTGGGGAAATATTACTATACAAGACAGAATTCAATGTCACTGGGGTTATGATCTCAGTGACATGTGGTTTAGTTGGG